GTAGGATGAAATAGAGGCAGGGCAGATGCATGGACAGATGAGATAGATAGATAGATAGATATGATAGATAGATAGATAGGCATACATGCATGGACAGACTGAGATAGATAGATAGATAGATATGGACAGGCTGAAATAGATAGATAGATAGGTAGATAGATATGGACAGGCTGAGATAGATAGATAGATAGATAGATAGACATACATGCATGGACAGACTGAGATAGATAGATATATAGATATATAGATAGATAGATAGACATGGACAGGCTGAGATAGATAGGTAAAGACAGACAGACAGATAGATAGATAGATAGACAGATAGACAGATAGATAGGAATGGGCAGACTGAGATATGCATGGGCAGAGTTAAATAGACAGGCATGAACAAACTGAGATAGATAAATAGATAGATAGGCATGGATAGACTGAGATAAATAGATGGGCATGGGCAAACTGAGACAGACAGACATACAGACAGACAGGCAGATAGATAGATAGATAGATAGATAGATAGGAACAGACATAGATAGATATGAACAAACAACGATAGATAGATAGATAGATAGATAGATAGATAGCATATATGAAAGAAGGGAATAGAGAAGAGTGATATAGTGAAACGTGAATGTAATGGAAGCGACTGGAATACGAACTCGGCTCTCCGATTCCTTTATTCCACGGTGGCTCCGCGATATATATAATATATGTATATAAATAATATATACGTTAATATATGCATTTAGCGTCTTAGAATAACCTCCAGAATAATGCTACGAATTTAGATGAATAAAACTTTATCCTCAATATGCTGAATAGTTTGGCATCAGCATAACACACACACACACACACACACACACACACACACACATATATATATATATATATATATATATATATATATATATATATATATATTCTTCCTCCGAAGTACAAATCGACAGAAAGTCTACTGTAAAGTCTACAGAACGTCTCTTGTAATGGGGAAACATTTTTCAACTTTCAACTGAAAGTCAATTTATAGAGATTTAAATGTTAGCATTTCTTATGGTAAATTTTGTTCATTAATTTACTTTATTTTTATTTCTGTTCTTTCTTTTTGTTGTTAAATGTTTTTGCATCCGGTTGCAAGTTTCTCGGCCATATTGTGTGCGGCGTTCGCCGGTCACGTGGTTTGTATCCGCGTAATCCACAACTAGACAGACCTTGCTCGATTGGTTCACCGATAGATATCGCAAGTGTCTTATTAATGATGGCACTCGGTAAATTGCATTAGCATATTAGGAAAAAAGAATAAACTTGTTAAGATATAGAACTAAGCGAAAATGGAAGAAAGGGATATGTGCGCATGCGCGCCGCCAAGGAAAGAAAGAAAGAAAAAAAAGGAAGAAAGAGAGAAAGAGAAAGAGTGAGAAACTAAGGAAGGGACAGAAGCTGAGATGCAACAGAGAAAGAGAGAAAAGCGGAAAGGGAAGACGTGAGGGAGATAGAAAAAAGAGCAAAGGAAAGAAAGTAAAAAAATGGAGGAGAAAAAATAAAAGAACGAGAAAGAAGAAAAAAGAACGGGCGAAGAGGAATAAGAAAGAGAAAGAAAGAAAGAGAGTGAGAGAGAAATGTGATGGAAAGACGGTAGAAAAGAGAGACAGCGGCTAGAGACATGTTAAAGCAGAAAGATAGAGACAAGTAGAAAAAAAAGGGTGAATGAGAGAGAAGAAAAAGGAATGGGAAATGCGAAATAGATAGATAGATAGACAGACAGGCAGATAGATCGTAATAGACTGAGATAGATAGATGCAGACTTAGATACATAGGAAGATAGATACGAAAAAAACTGAGATAGATAGACAGACAGACATATTGACAGATAAACAGACAGACATATATGAAGAGACTGAGATAGATAGATAAAGAGATAGATACGAACATACTGACACACACACACACACACGCACACATATTTATATAGATAGATAGATAGATAGATAGATAGATAGATAGATAGATAGATAGATAGATAGATAGATAGGAACAGACTGAGATAGATAGATAAAGAGATAGATAGTAACAGAGTGAGATAGATAGATACGAACAGAGATAGATAGATAGATAGATAGATAGATAGATAGATAGATAGGAACAGTCAGACAGGCAGACAGCCAGGGAGATATAAACAGACCGATAGACAGATACCAACAAACTGATATATATATATATATATATATATATATATATATATATATATATATATATATATATATATATAAACCTAGTTAGCCAGACATACCTACCCAGGAGCCAGCTTTCCCTGACGAAACCTGGGTAGGTTTGTCTAACTCCCCTAGCTGTATCTAGGTCTGCTCTACGGTTGTATTGAGCGCTTTTGTTAGTTGTTTACTCGTGTCGGGGTTTTTCTTTGGGCTTCAGACCTGCATCTGTGCGATTTTTTTTCGACAGACTTTCATGTTTCTAGCTCTTTCTTTTTTAAAACCGTTTTTCCCTCGAGATTGATATGATTATTGGTAAATCAAAATTCGAGGGTTTTTTCGAAACGAGTATAGTTACCAATATTTGTATATATATATATATATATATATATATATATATATATATATATATATATATATATATATATATATATATATATATATATATATATATATATATATATATATATATATATATATATATATATATATATAAATATATATATATATATATATATATATATATATATATATATGTCTGGTCTCCTCCTCCCCCAATACTAAGTATGCTTGAGAGAGATATGAAATTAATCCCTCCCTAAACTCTACCATGTCTCTTTAACTACTCCTTTTACACTCTCTGTTAAATTACAAAAACTTACACTACCCATCAATTTTAATTTCATTTTTCGTTTCATTTCATTTTTGGAAGTGCTATAGGATGATCCGGCGTCCTTTAAAAGGGCTCAGTGAAATAAATTATTATAATTGTACTTTAAAGTGGTCTGTTTTTTTTTTTATATATATATATATATATATATAGAGAGAGAGAGAGAGAGAGAGAGAGAGAGAGAGATAGATAGCGTATGATGAGAAAGAAGGGAATCGAGTGGGACAGAGAAGGACGATATAGAGAAAGTAATAGAATGAAGAAATCATAGAAGGTAAATAAGGCATAATAACATAAAGGATGGGATAAAGCGGGAAAGATGGAGAAGAAGAAACAGATAAAGGGAGAGGTGAGGAAGAGGGAGAGAAATTGGAAAGAAGAGATGGAAAAAGGGAGGCGAGGAAGAGAGAGAGAGAAAGAGAAAGAGAGAATGAAAAAAAGAGAGAGAGAGAGAAGGAAAAAAGGGCGCCGAAAACAGAAAGAAATAGAAAGGAGGTGAAGACAGGGAGAAAGAGAAAAAAAGAAGGACGTCAATGATAGTGAGAAGAGAAAGAAGTGGACAAGAGAGAAAGAGAAATGGAAAGTGGGGAAGATAGAGAGAAAGAGAAATGGGAGGAAGATATATATTTGGGGACCTTGTGTCACAGTGTACCAGGTCTGAATTCGGCCCTTCAAAAAGTGTGGCTGGTCCTGCACGAAACCTTCGCCACTATAATGAAATCTCATATGCTGTTGTAAGGTTGTCGGTTCCAGGGAACTGATTTGCTTGACCCTCATACGTCGAATTCGACTATATATATATATATATATATATATATATATATATATATATATATATATATTTATTTAAAAATATGATTCCAAATCGCTACATAAGAGGTCTCATGTTTCAAAACAAGAGCCGAAAACTTCAATATAATCCTTTAAATTAAATTGAGTTGAAAGTAAAATGGGCTCCGTTCCATCTTCAAGCGAAATTTTTGTTGGAATAACGTATATCTGAAATTAATATATATATATATATATATATATATATATATATATATATATATATATATATCAGGTTATCCCATAAGTTCTGCCCGAATTTTGGATAAAGAAAACAAGTGACCAAATGTTACATTTAATTACAGATTAAACCAACAATGCATTTTCCCTGATTATCTATGACTTCCTTCCATCTATTAACAAGCTTACTATCAGGTCATCCCATAAGTTCTGTCCGAATTTTGAATAAAGAAAACAAGTGACCAAATGTTACATTTAATTACAGATTCAATCAACAATGTATTTTCCCTGATTATCTATGACTTCCTTCCATCTATTAACAAGCTTACTATCAGGTCACCCCATAAGTTCTGTACGAATTTTGAATAAAGAAAACAAGTGACCAAATGTTACATTTAATTACAGATTCAATCAACAATGTATTTTCCCTGATTATCTATGATTTCCTTCCACCTATTAACAAGCTTACTAATTCCATTACTGTAAAATTCTTTTGGCTTTGATTCTCAGTACTAAGTTTTAACCTCTTCCTGTGTTACAAAAGCTGTTTCTTTTCCAAATGATTCTGTAAGCTACGAAACAAATGGTAGTCTGAAGGAGCAAGATCGGGAGAATAAGGTGGATGAGGAATTGTCTCCCAACCAAGTTCTTCGATCTTTTGTGACGTGATTCTTGCTGTGTGGGGTCTCGCATTGTCCTGATGAAACATCACCTCTTTTCGATTCACTAGAGCAGGTCTTTATTCCTCAAAGCTTGGTTCAAACGCTCTAATTGCTGACAGTATATTTGAGCATTAATTGTTGCATTAGGTGGTAAGAATTCAAAGTGGATTATTCCTTGGCGATCCCACCAGATTGAAAGAAGAAAATTTTGCCCATGAAGTTCCGTTCTCGGCTGTGGCTAGGGTCCTTCCCCTTTACCAAGCCACTGTCTACGACGCTTAACATTTCGATAAAAGACCCATTTTTCGTCGCCAGTCACAAGTCTATCCAAAAAAGGTGAAACAAGTTGGCGAGAATGTAGAGAAGAGCAGATGTCAACTCGGGATTTGAGGTTGTTTTCAGACAATCCATTTTCCAAGTTTAGGAACTTTTCCAAGTTGTTGAAGATGACGATGAACAGTTGTATGGTTTGAACTGAGAACCACTGCCAATTCCTCAACTGATAAAGCAGGATTTTCTTCAAGGGCTGCTTCAAGAAGCTTTTCATCAAACTCAACTGGACGTCCGGTTCGATCTTCATCTTCAAGGGTGAAATCTCCACCTCTGAATTTTACAAACCATCTTCTGCAAGTTCTTTCATTCACACATTCCTCTCCATAAACTGAGCGAATGTTTCTAGCTGCTTCGGCTGCTGAGTTTCCTTTCTTGAACTCATAAAGCATTATGTGTCTCAAATGATTCTTGGGTACTTCCATGTTAGCAGGGTTTTAATCAAACAGAATTTAATTTTAATATTCTCTGAAATAAAATTTGATCAGTTTAAATGCATCTAAATATAAAAATAATGTTCAGCTCCATTAGACATTATAAAATACTCTTTAAATTTTGTTCATTTTAAAAAAAGGTAAAATTCGGACAGAACTTATGGGATGATATATATATATATATATATATATATATATATATATATATATATATATATATAAAAGTAGAAACCTACGACAAAAAATAAAGCACTGTTCCTCAACTACTTTTTACAG